CACATGTACACCTCAATTTACATCTCCTATACTTTCCCTGGCATTATTGTCTGTTAGGTCCCAGAAATATTGTAGGACCAGGCCACTCCGCCCACTATTAAAACCGAAAGGAGTGTTGAATACTGACGCGGAATTCATCATCATCAGCCTGGCTGCGTCCACTGCAGGACAAAGGCCTCTCCCATGTTCCGCCAGTCAACTCGGTCCTGTGCTTGCTGCCGCCAATTTATACCCGCAAACTTAATCTCATCTGCCCGCCTAACCTTCTGTCTCTCCCTAACCCACTTGCCTTCTCTAGGAATCCAGTTACCTTTAATGACCAGTGGTTATCCTGTCTAAATTAAGCCCTACATGCCCAGCCCATGTCCATTTCCTCTTCTTGATTTCAACTATGATACCATTAACCCCGGTTCGTTCTCTAATCCACTCTGCTCTCTTCTCGTCTCTTAAGGTTACACCTACCATTTTCCTTTCCATTGCTCGCTCATTTTAAGCTGAATCCTCTTTGTAAGTCGCCAGGTTTCTGCACCGTAGCTAAGTACCAACAAGATGCAGCTGTTGTATACCTTCCTCTTGAGGGATAGAGGCAATCTACTTGTCATGATATGAGTGCTTGCCAAGTGTGCTCCACTCCATTCTTATTCTTCTAGTTACTTCATTCTCATGGTTCGGCTCCGCGGTTGCTACCTGTCCTAAGTAGACATAGTCTTTTACAACTTCAAGTGCACTATTACCTATCTCGAAGCACTGTTCTCTTCCGAGGTTCTTGTACATTACTTTCGTTTTCTACAGAATAATTTTAAGGCCTACTGTTCTGCTCTCCTTGTCTTGCAACTCCTTAACCATGAGTTGCAATTCATCCCCTGAGTTACTTAGCAATGCAATGTCATCTGCGAAGCGCAGGTTACTAAGGTACTCTCCATTACTTCTTATCCCTAACTGTTCCCCTTCTAGGCCTCTGAAAACCTCCTGTAAGCACGCGTTAAATAGCATTGGGGAGATTGTATCCCTCTGCCTCACACCCTTCTTGATTGGTATTCTGTTGCTTTCTTTATGAAGCACTATGGTAGTAGTTGATACCCGGTACATTTCTTCTGGGATGTTTATATATGCTTCATCGTTTATATATGTTTCATCATATAAGCTTCATCATTTATATATGCTGATTCTGCAGTCTCTGCATGACTGCTGTCATTTATACTGAGCCAAACACCTTCTCATCATCTATGAAGGCTATGCATAGTGGTTCGCTATATTCTGAGCGTTTCTCCATTGCATGATTGATAGTATGAATGTAGTCGATTGTTGAGTAGCCTGTTCGAAATCCTGCTTGTTCCTTTGGTTGATTGAATTCTAATGTTGCCTTAATTCTGTTAGCAATTACCTTTGTCAATAGCTTGTATATTACGGAATTCATAAGCTACTCCAAAAACGAGGAGCCCCAACCAGCGTTTGGAGCGTCGGTGACAAGGGCTATTCGTGTTGGAACATTAGACAGTCATAGTATACCGGGCTTATCGGCATACCGGGCGTACCATGATAGTGCGATCGAATCGCGCATGCGTAGATGTGTACGTTACCCGTATTGCTTACTGTACGCGCGCTATTTTTTTTTCAAATTTTACCGTACCGCGCTAGCATAGGTGTACGTTGTGCACCTAAAGCATGGCGGCACTCTTGGTCGCCCTCTTCGAAGTGATTTTGCGTAGTTGAAAGATTCACTTTGGTCGCAGCGAACGACTGTTAAAAGTGGCTTCGCTTGCCTTTAGTTAGCTCCAACGACCGAGTATTACGGATTAGTTGGCGTAATTTTTGAGATAGCTTCCCATTTCGAACTTACATCAATGCTTTGCGTAGTGACACAGGCAGACATTAATCTTTTTTTTTTTTCTTTTCACTGTTCTTACTTCTCAAACTCCTGATGAGTGGCGCCGCGCGCCCTCCTCCCAGTTGGGGCACTTAAACCACGTAAACGCTATCCTATTAAACTCTAAGACGCTGTCCGCAACGAACGTTTGCTGCACGGTAACGTCATTCCCTTAACCTCCACCATCACGTTAACGGTAAACTATAACTCTCTGTTAGTACAGCATAAAATGCTAGCGTGAGCTTGTCTCATACACTAGCATTCAGCATAACACTAGCAGAACACACTAGCATAACGTTACACTAAGTTATGGAGTAACGTTATTCGAAAAAGACACTTTGTGGAGCGTAAAACCGGCGAAACAACCCCCTGTAAAAGGCTAGAAGCTACGACATCTCCATGCGAGTAATCAAAGCTCCAAAAGTTGATCGGCTCGCTTCTAGTTGCGAGTACTCGACGCAGCTAAGTACGGTTCGTATTCAAGCACGGAGACGTATTTTAAGTGCGAAAAAAATTGCTGCGTTAGAATTGACAGTTTTGGGTGCCATCAGACAAGTGTATAGAGAAAGTAGGGACACTTTAGGTAGACGTGAGAGTGTACAGAGCATCGATATTGAAACTAACATAGTCTCACAGTTCACAGTCCATCAACAGAGAGAGAATGCTTGAAGTGCAAATCAGCAGCATCAATTAGAGTGAACTAGCAAGTTCTCCAAGAGAGCCCGGCTATACGATCGGCGAGAAGCGGGCAGCCATTGCTTAGAGAAACCCCTCAATGAACCTTTATGAGCATGTATTCCTGTTGCCTTCGCTGTGCGTATGTACTTTAATTTTTAAATTGCCCTCTGAAAAGTAGACTCCGGGGCGCGACCGCGAAGCGCACACGTTGGAGCGCTGAGGAGGCGTTTTGCCTACGTCGGTCAGTCTGTCAACTGGCTGCTTGCTTATACTATATTCATGTCAGCTGTAAGGAGTCTTTTTTTTTTTTCTTGGGGACCTTCGACGGAAAAATTTTGGTCTGTACATTTGTCTGTTTGTCCGCCCTAACGATACCTCAAACGGCATTTAACGGCCAACCCCATCCGCAGCACCCACCAATATTGCTCAAGGTTCAGCTTTCATAGTTGTGCGATTGTCAATTAAAAAAAGCAAATATTGCGCATATCTGAGGCCCCATAACAACACGTCTATGTTTTGTATGTCTGCGTTAATACGAGAAGAGGCGCACACACAAGGACTGTACCATTTATCTCACTGCGCTGACAGTGCAACGCGATGCTCAGGAAGGTGTTTCCAACGCTTTGCTACGACACGGTGGTGGCACCTGCCCGTCGCTTTGAATTCTACACCTTATCACCTCCAAGACTGGTGCGCATATTTCTCTGCGGTCACGCACGCCTTTGTTTTCGAAGATAACTGCCAGATGGCGCTCGTGTCTAACGTGCCTAGATGCGCTTGTTCGCCTCCGGTACACGCTCGAGGCACTCTAACGCAGCGCCTTGAGAATACCATTCACCGATTTTCTTGCGCAGAACATCAAATAAACGCTTTGATCACTCGCTACAGACACAACGTCTTTCAACAACATATACAGTTTAACATGTAGACTCGGGCCAATTTTTTCCTTTGAAAACCACTTGCACCTTGAAGGTGAAACTTGGCACGAAGCATTACCTCCAGCTAGACGGCCTAGAATTCGACTTTGGGGAAGTGCGCAAGGTTTACTTGCAGTTGGCCATCAAGTGGACCAAGCAACACCTTTCGAACGTGCTGTTTATCAGAAGTACACCCCAGCGAACATGGGAGACGAGCACAATGGCGCAGCTTACGCCACGATATTTTTTTTTACATTTCAAAATCAGCCGGGAACCGCTTCTCGACAAATGATGCCACAAGTCAAAACAACTGTGCCATAAGCACAAAGATAGGAAACAGGTTGATTAGAGCATCGGGAGCATCGCCTCCTCAATTAGCTCTACTAGGAGCTAAATGCGGAAGCAACGCTCACGGTTTGCATAGTTACCGCGTCCGCCGCGACGTACCCGCACCAAAGCACCAGTGCACTCGCGCTAAACTGAAAGCAGGCCGTACGTTTAAAGAAAAAAAAAAAGTGCTTCAGGTAATGACGCGCGCAGACATATAGACGCTGACTTTTGTCGCCCCTACAGTATGGCTTTCAGTGTGCTCACTGGGATGAAAAAAAGGGAAGGCGCTTTGAGCGTGCGACACATCTCTTAACACAACTCACAGTTACTAAATTAAAGAAAATAATAATAATAAATAATTGCGAACTGAGCTCATTGTGAGTCAATGTCCTCAGTGATGTCATTCAATGATTACGTGGAGAATGTTGTAGGGCTGCTCTAGCTTTGTGAAGTGTAGCCAGATGTGAATATTATTTGCCACAAATTCAAACGTAAACTAGGCGCACAACGCTATGCCATCTGCAGCCATGTTTCAAATTCCACTCTGTACACAATAGGCTTTCTTCACAGCTGAAGTGCATCAATATTATGCTCGCATTTACATGACACGCAACAAGTGGCAGCGAATGTGCCGTGCTTGGTGTCCAAAAGATAAAAGCTAACGTGCAAAGGCAGAATCGGCGACAAATACCTCGGTTCCGTGCTTTATTAGTCTGCTCGAAATGTCAGACGCAGCCCTCCAGCAACGTGTGTGTCGCATGGGCGTTCTAGTCGGGGTAAGGTTCATAGCCTGCCTAAAATAAGTTTTGCACGTGCCTGTATGCACGCACACATACTACAGAACGGAGTGCTTTTCGTACCGTGCATGTGTGCACTGCAAGCTGTGCGCCCCTGTGATGTCGGACGGGAGTGACGCCAACACAAGACCAGCCTACATCTTGAAAAAGCTTTACGATGAGAAACCATGTATTATAGCACCCACACACATTCAAACATTCGTCATTAAACCAAGCCAAGACAAGAACACAGCATAACTAACGGCAGTATACACTGCCTGAGCAAGTACGTGGTCTGGAGCTGCAAAGTTGTCTTATCTGATGAAGATTAAGATGCCTTTTGAAAACCACCGACTCGAGCACAAATATTAGTCCGTCCAAATCCCACTACTAAAGTGCGCCGCTTTTACCCCATACAGATTAGAAGAACGCTGCGGACAAGAAGCAGTATTTATTTTTGACGAGGAAACGTACACTACAGGAGGGTGCAAATAGACTGAACGTTGCTGCTTACTCTATACGTAAAACAAAAGCCTCACGACGCGATAGCCCCAAATCACACAATAAAAATCAAGACAAATGTAAGGTGGCGAAGCCTCACTTCCCGCTTCCCCGGGGCGAACTCAAGGCAGTCTCTTAAAGAGCAGGCAACTGCCACTCGACTGCGAAAGCGTGCCGTGGTGGAAGAGTCTACCTTTGCGTCGAGCGTCCGTAGCCGATCAAGAGTTCACAGTCCAGCGGGTTGGCGTTGGGGCCACAGCAGGAGTCGTGGTCGTGTCCAATGGGGCACCACTTACCCTGCGGCTGCTGACGGTGCATCGCAAGCAGCTTCTCTTGCAGAAAGAGCCTGAGGAGTAACATTGATCGTATCTTGCTTCTTCAGATACACACCCGGCGGAGGTGCGGGCAAACCAAAAAAAGGCAAAGCATGTTTCGTGCAACAGAAACAAGCACCGCGCTATTTTCGTTTTATTTGGTTTTGCGACCCGCAGGGTCAGTGGGCAACTTGCTGCACGCGGGCAGTCCGTAAAGCCCCCCTTTTTTTCTCAGGCTCGGGCAAAGCCCTGCTTCGTCCCATGCTGTTGAATTGTCTCTTTTGTTATATACACAACGCTCCCACAATCACACACTCACGCACTCAAAGTAGTCTTCACTCGGCCATCACGCCCAGAAGAATGCCATGCAGAGATCACACCTTCACCTCAGGCTTCGCGTGGTCCGCAGAGTCCTTGGGTGCTTCCGGCTCGGCGGGACCCTTGGATTCCACGTTGAAGGAGGAGCCCTTGGATTCCACTTCGGAGGAGGGGCCCTTGGATTCTACATTCGGCAAAGGCACTTCCGAAGTGCTGCTTCTACCGTTAGCCTTGCTGTTGCTCACTTCACCGTTCGTCTCCGCCGTTGCAGTGGCAGCCCGCTCCGGCGAGCTGTGGCTTCTATGAGAGCTCCGCTCACGGTCTCTACTTCGGCTATGGTCCCCTCTGCTTCGATCACTCCTGTCGCTGCGCTCCTTGTCGCTCCGATCCCTGTCTCCCCGGTCGCGGTCACTCCTGTCCCGGTCGCGGTCCCGATCTCGGTCCCTATCCTTGTCGCGGTCTCTATCGCTGCGGTCGCTCCGGTCTCTATCCCGATCACTACGGTCCCGATCCTTGTCGTTCCTGTCCCGATCACTTCGATCGCGGTCACCCCGGTCCCTGTCACGGTCACGGTCACTCCTATCTCGGTGATCTCGTTCCCTGTCGCGATCCCTGTCGCTACGGTCTTTGCTACGGTCCCGATCCCTACGGTCGCTGCGGTCCCGGTCACTCCTCTCCCGGTCACTGCGATCTCGTTCGCTGCGCTCCGACCGTGACCGTTCACGGTCACGCTCTTCATCTTCCCGCGACCAGCGGCTTCTTCGCTCCCGGCCACTGCTCCGACGCCTGTCTGAACTTTCACCATATGCATTTGTGAAGACACGCCGGTCGCCTCTCTCGCCACCGAATCCACCTTCGTCGCTATCTCTCCCAGAACTTTGCTCGTTAAACCTCGACCGAGGAGGCCCGAAGAAACCAAAACCACTTGGCTGCTTCCACGGCTGCTCGCCATTGCCTTGCCCCTCTTCTGCTGCTGGTCCATTCGGTCCCCTAGATGGCTCCGGCGCAGAAGCTGGAGGTTTCCATTCCTTCGGCGCTTCTCCGTTTTCGCTTCTCTTTTTGTCAGCCAACTCGACGGGCTTATTTTGTGTGCCTTCTTGACTTTCAGGCCCTTTTACATCGGTTTGCTTCCCGTCCGTGACTCCGGTCACAATCACAGGTGGCATGTTGGGAGGAAGGTTAGGAGGCATGTTAGGAGGCATATTAGGAGGCATGTTTGAAGGCATGTTTGGAGGCATATTTGGTGGCATATTTGGGGGCATGTTAGGGGCTAGCATGCGGAGACCGGGAGCTGGCATTCGAGGTTCTGGAGGCCCTAACTTTCTCAAATCTTGAGGAGGACCACCTAATCTAAAGTCGGGTGGCCTTAGCATCCTATGGTCTGGCGGCCCTGGCAGTATTCTGTGATCTGGTGGTCCACCCATCATCCTATGATCTGGAGGGCCTCCCATCATTCTGTGGTCTGGTGGGCCACCCATCATCCTATGATCTGGAGGGCCTCCCATTATTCTATGGTCAGGAGGCGGTCCTCCCATCATTCTGTGGTCAGGGGGCCCACCCATCATTCTATGATCTGGAGGTGGGCCTCCGATTAACCTATGGTCTGGAGGACCACCCATCATTCGGTGGTCCGGAGGTGGGCCTCCCATCATCCTGTGACCTGGAGGTGGGCCTCCCATCATCCTGTGGTGTGGAGGTGGGCCTCCCATCATCCTATGGTCAGGAGGACCTCCCATCATTCTAGGTTCTTGCATAGGACCACCCATCATCCTGTGATCTCGTGGACCACCCATCATTCGGTGCTCTGGAGGGCCACCTAGCATCCGTAGTTCCTCTGGACCACCCATCATCCTTGGCTCAGGTGGTCCTCCCATCAATGGGCCACCCATCATTCTTGGTTCAGGACCTCTGTGCATCCTGTGTTCCATGAGACCACCCATCATATTTGCTTCTGGAGGTCCATCAAGCATATGCTGCTCCAGAGGTCCACCCATCATCCTCTGCTCCCCTGGCCCACCCATGATGGCCTGATCATGCGGATTGGGCGGACAGAAATCACCCACTGGGGGAACCACCATTCTTGGATCTGGACCCATCATTCGAGGACCTGGGAATTCCATACCAGGTCTCCCATCAGCTGGGTTCTCAAAGGGGAACATAGGTGGTGGTCCGCTGAAACGTACAGGTGCATTTCCAAATGGCCTGGGTGGAACAGGCTGTGAAGGCATTCCAGGCAGTCCAACTGGCAATGGGATAACTGAGCTTACCGAGGGGTCAAAGGCACAAACTTCCTGTCCTGGCTCAGCAGCCTGCTGCCCTGAGCTTTGTTCATCCTGCTGCATTTTTTCAAGATCAGTTTTCTCGGGTTTTTCAGTCTTGACATCTGTACTGGCTGCTTCATGACTAGATACAGCCACTGGAGATTTTGGCTCCTTAACAGAGTTTGCATCAACTTTGTCCTTCGCCAGCAAACCATGGTTCCCAAACTGGCCTGGCAGGCCAGGTGGTGCAGGCAAAGGTAAAAATCCACCAGAAGGAGCAATTGTTGCTAACTCACTTCCATCATGTTTTACACTCTCAACCGGTCCCTTTTCATTTCCCCCTGGTTCACCAGAAGGAGGGTCGATCATACCAAGACGACTTGCTTCACTTGTGCCATCTTCATCAGTGGGGGTGGCATCACCGTCAATGGCCATGGGTACATCAGTAGTTTCACTTTCTGTGGCAGGTGTTGCAGAAGATCCTGAAACAGGTGCTGCTGCAGCAGCAACTGGCTGAGTTACAGTTGTCACAGGAGCACTAGAAACAGCTGGGCTTGCTGTGGTAACTATGGGCATCACTGCTGCTTGGGAGGTCACAGGGAGGCTCATAGGAGGATGAAGAGGGGGCAGGCCAAGAGCAGCCCCTGGCAGGCTTAAGGGTGGAGGAAGCAGACCCAGAGCGCTAGGCCCCAACAGTGTTTGAGATGTGTTTGGTGGCACCATCAGCATGTGGTTAGGTGGAGGTGGCACACCCATGGGTAGCTGAATTTGAGGCATTACCAGGCTCTGGGACGGCATCATACCTGCAATGTAAGAACACGCACAAAAGCACTCAAACTACAGAGAAAAAGTAAACTTATGGTAAACTTTTTACAAAAACAGCATTTATAGCCACTCACCGGTGTTTGAAATAATTAGCGAGAAAAAAAATGTACCTTAGTAGTGAATTATAAGACACTGAAAAGTTCTATTTCTTTAGGAAACACAGCTCTATGAATCACAAAGCACATGTTCTTAGCAGATCCATCTGAATCATCAAAGTAGCCAAAGAGGCGATGAGATAGTCGATGCCCCCAACCGCCAAAATTTCAATTTCGCATGTGTGTATAACACTGGCGGATCCAGAGGGGGGCGGTGGGCCATCGCCCCCCCCCCCTTCCTCTAAGATCCTGTGGGCACCCACTTTCCCTTTCTTTAGTGCTTGCCGTCCACCTACTGTCACCAATCAGGACAAATGAGTGGGACCACTTTGACCACACATGAACAGTGTTTATGCTATGACAGAGTTTTTGTGCTCACAAAAATAAAGAAGTAATGACCACACCGCCCTATCTGGTGTTACTCCAATCGACCCCCCACCCCTTGAGTGGCTGGATCCGCCCCTGGTGTATAGGCCTTCACTTGTACGAATGCATGCATGGATGTACAACTGCAGTTACCCCCACCCCATTAAAAATTTCTCGCTATGCTCTTTTGAATCTATAAATGAACCCTTTTGCTTTGTAAAGCCAAGCTTGAATTGCAAATGTAAAGTGGTGATGTAACAGTCATCACCATACCTTATATAACCCATACAACTACTCATGAAACAAAAACTGGTCACAATAAAATGTAAGCAGGTCTGCAAGACCAGCTAAATTTTGCCTTTATATATGGACAAATAAACAAAAAGTCTTTCAAAATTTCAACATTTCATTTTACAGTTGGTTTGGTGCACATTCTATGAGACCACACCTGGCTGAAAAAATCTTCGTACGGCATGTCTTTCAAAAGGCGCGTTAACAATATAAACGCATACAAAGTCTATGAAACCGAAACTGAAAGTGCCAGTTTTGTGTGTAGCATAATAATGCCCTAGTTTGCAGCTTTTTCATAGAGTAAATATAGTGCAAGGAAAGGCATTGGACAATACAAATACAAGCGATGATTTCCAACTGAACTTTCCCAAGAAGAACAAGCAATTTATGAAAACAGCGTGTGGTAAAAACCGTCCCTTTCTAAAAACATGAAGGTAACATGAGCAAGCACTCTAAACCAACAAACAAGGAACAGCGAGCTCAAGAGCATCAGCGCATGTGCGAGCACAAGAATGAAAGTTCCTTGTTAGATAAAGCTACTGAAGGTTTATCAACAGAGCCACATTTAGCAACTATTACAGTTTCTATGACCAGTCTTGTATTCTTGTTTGGATGCTTTGCATAACACTCATCCTTTCAAATAATGGAGTTTAGCCACAATGTTCAGAATGCATAGCAAGCCCCACCATGGTGGTATAGCGGCTAAGGTACTCGGCTGCTGACCCGCAGGTCAGGGGTTCGAATCCCGGCTGCGGCGGCTGCATTTCCGATAGAGGTGGAAATGGTGCAAGCCCGTGTGCTCAGATTTGGGCGCACAATAAAGAACCCCAGGTGGTCGAACTTTCCGGAGCCCTCCACTACGGCGTCTCTCATAATCATATGGTGGTTTTGGGACGTTAAACCCCACATATAATCACCATCATCAGAATGCCTAGCAAGAAAGCCTTCTCCCCTTTCCACACCTCGTTGCTATTGTCACGATGACAATAGCAACGTCAGATGAAGGCAGCAGACTTCATCTGACGATGAAGGCAGCAGACTGAAGTTCAGATGATATGACTTATTCAGCCGAACTTGTGGCCAGAAAACGGAAGATCAGATTACAGCAATACACAGGTACTGATAGCGGCAGACAGACTGTCGGCCAGCAATCAACTGAGAAGCGACTAAGTCCGGTGGACGGTGGGCATCACACGCGGAGTGATGTTATCACATGTGCCGTCCGCACAATGGAGATGGGCAGCTTGTTTAATCTATGCGTCAGCAGTGTTATTTATTTTGTTTATTTACAGCACCTTACAGGCTCCTTGTAGAGCAGTGAGTAAGGGGAGCATCAAAAAAAGAAAAGGAAAAGAATGCGATACATGGGTCTAAAAAGTGCAACAGTAACGTACTTGCGAAACGGTGAAACAAATTGAATTACATGGCAAAATAACACCAACTACTAACTAAAAGCACAATAACATGAAAACAACACTCAGGCACTGATAGCGACATGGAACTGCATTAAGAGGCCTCGGTTGCGGCCTCACCGTAACCGAATGAAATAATTCAGGGCTTTTTTTCCTTTGGTTTAGTTTTCGATTACACTGCACTACACTCTCTTTACCACAATTCTTACAGACTCTTCTACATTTATGTCTTCATAGAGCATGTGTGCAATGTGAGTGCTAAGTGTTGAGCCTATCAGGATTTCGAACATCTCAGCTACACTCTTCTCGTTTCCACTTGTGTAATCGTACACTCACAAAATGCAGCAAAATCACAAGTTTATCGCGCATAATAATCTGCGAGACAAGAGGAAGAACAGGGATGACGGCTGGAAAATGCATGGCAAAGAAGGGTAGAAAAAATTTACAACTCATATTTCTCATATGTAAACCATTCTAGAGTATCTGGTTTAATTATGTCGTGAATCACTGTTCTGGTGTCACTAAGGGCGCGCAAAAGAACGAGAATCGCCAAGAGAGAATAACACGCTCGACTGCGTATCTTGAAAAGCTGTTTTATGGCCCTTACATAGACGGTGCATGTAAACCCGGAAACAAGAGAGCAGTCACGGAATCGCAAATGTTACTATCAGATATCTTAAGGCTGCAGAAAAGAAGGCGAAATGATGCATCTTACGCCCAAGTTCCCCGCTCGGGTAAAAATAAGACATACGGCGGCGCGCTGCAAATTATTGTGCGGCGGCGGCGTGGTCTCTCTCGGAACTTCGGCGGCGGTGCACAGTTCTAGTCAAGCGACCATGGTTTCGTCCACAACTATGTGCACTGCAAAAGACAGGGCATGCACTGGCCATGCGCGTACTTCCAAAGTTTCGAACACCCTGCTCTTGGCCTTCATTCGGTGATTTCGATACTAAAGCTCATTATTAATTGTTGCGATGAGGAAAATCGTTCGAAACAACCAAATTTTAGCCCAATGGACACTGTTTATGCCAGGGGATTTCATGAATTTGTATCTGCTGGTTTCACATCCTTAAAATTCTACTACACATTCAGATGAGCATTCCCTAAACTCATTTACAATAAAATTCGATGGGTTCTCAAAAAGCCTGATTGGATTGGCCTGCCTTTTTTCAATGCAGCCAGATCATGCGTAGAAACTTCGATATCCGGGAGATCATAACTGTAGAAATGTAAAAAATGGCCGAAATCCGGGATACTTGGCGGGAATACAAGCCTAAATTGAGTTCCATGATTTTCCTGGCCTAAAACATTATTGAAGTTGCAGCGAAAGCGGAAATGTGAGATAGCACCTGACATTTATTAAAGCAGTACATAAACGAGAAAAAAGAAGGCTGTTTGCAATGTTGTCTGGCTCCGCCCCACACCGTTGCTTTCTCTTTGAGCATGTGCCACGATTTGTATGCACATTCAAAATCGAAACAATAGTAATGCAAGTACTTGATGCCACTTAGTCTTCTTGCCTGCCACAACACTATGTTTTGACGCCACATCTCCGCATCTGTAATTTTTATGCTCCTCCATTTTCTAGTGCTTGCACCTCTATTCCTTGCTTGTCAGGGTGTATTTTTTAAGCTAGTTGGTTGTACGAAGATAGCAGTAGCGGAAGTGCCTCTTTACTTTTTGGAGCATACTTTAGAGCAGGCAAAGTACTGTTTTTCAGCAGCCATAAACATTTTTGGAGCAGGAAAAATATGCTAGTTTAGAGAAGCTATTAGTCTTTTAGGAGTAGATTTTAAACTTGCCATATATTAATTGGTGTTCGGAGCACTGCTGAAGCATTCCATAAACATTACATTTCTTATGAAATATATTTGTCAGACAACAATCAATGTAAGTATCATGTAGGAAACAAAGGCAGGTTGTCAAAAATGTGCTGTGAAATGAGCTACAATTTAAAATACTACTATTTGTGGCAGAAATCAAATCAAACCAGAAAAGCTAAGCTGATTTTAAAAGTAACCACAGTCCCATATAACTGTGGCCAAATAAGCAGTAGACAATCGGTATGAAATAAAATCAATACTGCTCATTTTCACATTTCACCTCAGTACCTACATGTCTAGCTGAAGAAAAAAAACAGCCAAATGAGCTACATGCTTAATATGCCGGTTCTTGTAGCACAAATGAGATCAGAGCCGATAATGCTGCACACTAGCAGCGCTCTGTGATGATAGCACACAGATTCTTTTCAGTTTCTTTAAGACCTATGAGTCAATCAAATGGTAAAGGTTTGTCATTCTCATTCTCTCAGTGTCACTTCGGAGCAGGTCTGGAGTAATTACTAACAAAAATTACTGTTTGAAGCAGCATTTCTCTTTTGAAGCAGTTTGCAGCGATCGGAGTAACTGAGATAGTGAGCTCAAGCCCTAAAACAGCGCCAGAGAAAACAATGGACCAGACGAAGGGGAACATACACAGGATTCATCGTGTCTGTGTTGTTTCTACTAACTGGTCCCTTGTGTTTTCTGGTGCTACTTTACAGAAAGCCTAGCTGAAATGTCCAAAACAACCAGGCAGCTGTGATTAGTCTGTGCTGTTTCCTTTTACCCATTCAGCCAAGCCAAGATGCGACTACAACATAACTGCTGGGGTTTTATTACATGGTCTCTTGTGGTTTCTGGTGGTACTTTACTGAAAGCCTAGCTGAAATGTCCAAAACAACCAGGCAGCTGTGATTAGTCTGTGCTGTTTCCTTTTACCCATTCAGCCAAGCCAAGATGAGACTATATCATAACTGCTGGGGTTTCATTACAT